GTTTCATAAGCTCCACATAGGTATAAATATTTATAGTCTGATCGATTGTTTTTAGACAGGAATTTCGTGTATCTAATACTTACCTAATTCAAATTTGCAAACTTAAGCGTTGACATGTACCTACGTAGTTTCCACCAGCTTTAAAATTTCCATGATGACTTCCATGAACGCATTTGTCATGTCCCTATTTTTTTGTGTATATGTTTACCTACGCAGAATCGGGTTAATCTTTAGGCATAGTAGGGGCTCAGAAAACAAAATCAAAATATTTTATAGAATCAGAAATGTTTAATTTTATTGCTCACAGACTTTGATAATTATTTTTTTGCCAACATTATTTAATTCAAATTCAAAATATCTTTATACATGCAGGTCTATTACAGACTTTTATGCCATGTTAAATCTACCGCCAATTCGGAATGATTTCGAGATGTGAAGAAACTCAGTTAGTATCTATTCTTTTCAAATAAGGTTGTTGTTTCAGTGTTCGTAACCCGAACAGATCATTCCCCATAAGCAGTAGATACCTATTTACGAGTATGACGGTTATAATGTAGGTATTCTTTGTTTGGTTGACATTATTACACGACTAAAATACCATGGATAAATAAATACATCATCACAGATTATAACTGTAGAGTAATTAATAGTCATGTTATTAATTTCTTTATCAAAATTCAATGCTTGACAAGTATTAATCCATTGTTCCCCCGACGTCCGGAAGCTCAATCTCTTTGTTAGCTTTGTAAGCTCGTCGACTTTTCACTGCGGCATCATAAAAGCTTAACTGTTTGAGTGTTTCCTTCCCCTGTTTACAGTTTGAATCCGAAATTATCAAAGCTCTTTGATTATTGGGTTTTGTAATGTTGATCCTAATTAGGTAGGTAGAAATAAAGAGATTATAAACAATCTTTTTTATGTTGTTAATTGTTTGTAATTTATTTTCGTTTAATTTTCCTAATTACTCACTTTAATAATAACATCTCTCATTACTACCAACTTCTTTTATTAATTTCTTTCCTTAAATAACATAGTGGGTAAACGAGCTTCATCATACGATACCGTGAGTTATTTGATATCGTCGACTATGAGCACGAGTGACAAAAGGGAAATTGTAGTTGAGTACCCGGGTTTTTAGAAAAGAATCTTCTGAAATCACCTTCAAGAAAAGAGTATTCTTAGAAATATTACAATGTAGTTGTACCTACGTGGTAAAAAGTTTGTGGAGAAAGATGGAGGGCCGCCTTTCATGCAGTTGAGCAGAATGGTAATAGTGGATTTTACCAGCAAGTGTCAATCCGACAAATTGTTCTAACTACTTCCTGTAATAGGTATACCTATAGGTACGTAAGAAAATTGACAGAGATGCAAATATTTATAAGAGATGCAGTATCTCTCCGCAATAGCAATAAATAGATTATGTCACAAAATTGAAATTTCTCCGTTTGCAGTAAGAACGAAGCATAAACTTCGTTCTTATTTATTACTAACTACTCGGCCTGGCTTCGCACGGGTGTACATTTACTATATATACCTATAAACCTTCCTCTTGAATAACTCTATCTATTGAAAAAAACCTCTTCAAAATCCGTTGCGTAGTTTTAAAGATTTAAGAATACATAGGGACGGACAGACAGCGCCAACGACTTTGTCTTATACTATGTAATAATGATAAAGTGATATAAAAACAAATGGGATATCCAGCACTAAACATCGTATCAGTAAAATCAGAGATTATCTTCCTCGAACAAACACTCACAAGCTTTACTTCTTTATAATATTGTTATGTATGTATAAAGGTTATATAGATAACATGAATATATGTATCTACGAATAAAATAATTAAAATGTCTGTTTGTAATTTCAAATTAACAGCTTTTCACTAAATGCATATGAAAGGAAGTACCTATACATACTTATACTTACATAAAAAAAAAATTTTTTTATCTGTCTCTCTATTTGTTCTTGCTAATCTCTAAAATTGCTGGAGCGTTTTTGGCGGGACCTTCACACGCAGATAGCTATTGTTATAAGTCTGTTTGACGCTCTGTTTGTCTAATCTCTGAAACGGCTAAACTAATTTTAACGGAGTTTTGATAGAGATATTGATATAAGAAGTTATTTTTATTTTAGAAATGTTAGTAATGGAAAAATATCAGTTTAATTCCACGTGTACAGTCTAGCTAGTAAAATGATAAAATAGCTTTGTGATCTGCTCTCAACCAGATCAATGATTGATTATATCGACATAATGATTGTGAGCCGACATTAAACCCATGTAGAGTCCACAAATACCACTTACCAACACTTCCGATGATCACTTATTGGATTCATAGAGTTTAAAATTTATAGACAGCGCTTACATTTTTTTTGTTAGTATTTACAACGCATTTATTTCATAAATTTTTATAAAAATACAATACATTATTGTGAATTAACGTTAACGTTTTTAAGTTTTTCAGTTTTTTTATGTAAATGGCAAACAAGCTGACAGTCCAGCAAATGGCCGGCAAACAAGCTGACAGCCCAGGAACCATGGTCTATATACATCAATAGTATCACGGACATTACAATTACCTGTGATCATACCACTCATGTGTTGTCATTGCGGAGGAATATGAGGTCCTGTAATTTCACCCTTAAACAGAAACACATATTTTATAGTAAGATGCTAGGCGGCTAAAATAGGTAAGACTGAGGATTCAAGCAACTTTTTGCTACGGAAAAAGCTTTCTAAGTACTTACTACCTATTAATCCAAGGAAAATTTTTTTTTTTTGAAAATATTTCATATTAAAGCAAAAATTTCCAAAACAATATTTAGTCTTTAATTTATGTAAATAACTATTTTCTTTCTCTTTTAACGAAACAGATTTCTCATATGAACCATCTTTTTTCATGTAGAACAAGTTTAGTAGGTACCTAACAGTTAAATTGCAATACCTAAACAATTTAGGTTTTGGAAAAACTTATATTACATTATAAACTTATAATTTAACGTTCGATTTCCAAGACTTATAAATTCTTGTAAAATTTTTGAATATTTTACAAACTTAATTATAGCTGAACCTTCTGTGACTATTAAACTCTATGGTTTGACCACTTGATGCCATCCGATATCCACTTAATCTGTGTACATTTGGATGGCCTTAAATAACTATCTATAGCCACGTAGCTACTGAGATAACTATAAGTAATTTTGTTATGTTAAGTATATCTATTTTGATATTATTAAATCAATGTAAGTAGGTAGTTACTTACTCTATTATTAAAAGTATGGTAGGTAAATACCTAAGTAATTATATTATAATTAATAAAATTCACTTCATTTTGCTTTAAATTTTTTTACATCTATCTAGATATATCTACATATTAATACTCAAAATTAAGTGCGTACATTCGGGATAATCTCAAAAACTACTGAACGAATTTTCATGCCGTTTTCATACATCAACAGAGTTATTACTAAGGAATGTTTAGGTGTAATAAATAAATTTAATTATTAATTTAGAAATAAATACCTACCTACGTTTATTTTAATATATAGGTAACAAGTAGATAGATGATCAAGTGTTAAGAAATACACCAAATAAAATCTTACTGCAGCAATGAAAAATAAGTTTCAAGACGAAAAACTATCTAAGTCAAAAATTAAATAAAAGAAAATTTATGTTGACACTTCCACTCACCCACTTCTTTTATTGGTCAACCACAAACACTAAAACGCTCTGATTGGTGGATTTAAATGAGCTCTATAGAGTAAAAAGGACGCGATGTTTAGGGAATAGAATATTGTCGCTGCGCTAAAGAGGGATAGATAGACACTTCTCGAGTACTTACTGATAAAGCAAAGCGTCAACGGTGGGTTAAGGAAGTTGGAAGCTACGATGTGGTGCGTTAGATTTACAGGGTTGTTACAAATTGGCACGTTTTATAAAAATACTATGGATATCGGATACCATTTCAGTTTACAGCGAAAAATAAGTAATATAAATAGAGATTAGAAATAGTATACAATTACTACATTTTGGTTAAATATAGATATCTATGCTTGTTTTCTATATTTCATTATTTATTTAAGTTAATAATAATTAATAAGTCAATTGTAAAGGTCTGATAATACTTTAAAAAAATATTATTAATTTCTGTATTCATGTAGAAGATAGTTATGATCGTAACACTTATAACTCTGTAACACTTAAAAGTCAAAATCTGCAGTTAGTTGGAAATGTAGTTTCGAAACAAGAAGAAATCACAAGAAACTCAGCGCTTACTTTTTTCAAATAAAATTGTAAAATACTGAAACATGTTTAAATTTCAAAGATATTTATTAATAATCCTCAGTAGGACATGTATGATACTTGTTAGGTAAGTATTGTAAGATAATAACAGAACAAGGAATAAAAGTACCAATAGTCCTGGGTAATATCATCAACCATTAAACATATCAAATAGCAAACCCAATCTAAGCTGCTACCTAGGTATGCGTCAAAGGCCAAAACAACGTCGGTACAAATGCTTACCGTCATATATTTACTATTCCAATAAACCTGGAAAACTTTTCCTACTTAACTACCACGTTAAAGAAAGAAAGAAAGAAAACAATATTTTGTTTTAGGATGTGTCCGCGAATTTTAAACAGCATTCTTTTGCAGATTTCATTACGTTATTATCATTTTAGTTAGAAGAATTTCAATAATTATTAAAAATATTCGTAATAAATAAAAGAAACAGCCAATTCTTAATAGAAGTATAACAAACACAGTAACCTAAGCGATCAAATCGCATTCACATAAACATCTTCAAGAAAAACTCAACGATCCCCACTACTTACGCTACTTCTCGAGCTTTTTTAAAAAACGTCCGCCCTAAATTATCGCTATCTCATTTTACCTCCCAGTGATTTGCCGATCTACTTCTATTTCCGTCCCTTTCTAAGGCTTAAAGCACGTCAAACAGGCGGGCAATCTATCACCCAAAGTTTATTCGTTTGAGGAACGCTTTTGCGGTAAGGCGAGCTCGGAACGCGCGTTAAGTGGCATAACAATTAATGTGACTTTATTCTGAATATTCGAGATGGAATCAAAACTGAAAAATTTCAAGGACTCATTAACATTACAAGAATGTGAGAAAACTAATTTAACAACACCCTTCTCGATAAATGACATACTAACAAAAGAGAACGAAGCGAGGTGCGATTTTGAAAATGGAATGTATTGTCAAGATGCGGATTTTGGCGGGAAGATCAACTTTTTGGGCAAAATGACTAGTTGCTATAACAAAGAAGAAAGTTTTCCAAAGAGAGAAGTTTCAGATAAAAGTATAAAATACTATGACAATTGCAATAACTATAGGGATTATGGTGACGACGGTGCTTTGGACATGACCAGAAAAAATAATTATGCAGTCACAGAATTGTCGGGTGAGTTTATTGCATAACATTCATTATTATTTTTTTAGAAATATATTTAAGCACTTAAAATATAAAATATATAGGCATAGATACTTACTTATTAAAAAATCTCAGTCATTTTGACTGGTAGATCTCATCTCATGTACCGTAAATTTAATTAAATAAATATATTTTAAAATTAATTTTTCCATTGCTTTGAAAAATAGAAAAAAATAAAGACCTTAAAAATTGGTTAAATTAAAAATAAATTAGGTACCTATTAATATTACAAATTTATTGTTATGTAGGCTTTTTTTTAATTAATTATTTTGCAGATTAACGTAATGTTTAGTTCAATTTTATTCATCTAAACTGGGGTAGCAGTACCTACCAACTAAGTACTTAAAAAATAGTAATGTATCTTTAGATAGTGGTTTTTCTTCAAACTTCACCAGCCAACTACATCGGATTCCAAGAATGTAAAGATATATCTTATAGATAATCATAACGATATCTAAACATAAAAAAAATGTGCTAATTAATTTTTATGTCGGTTTTTCTTAACCGAGTTACTACAGTTTTCAGTTACGTTTAAGCAAACGGGGTGGTAGGGATAACTATAAAAAAATATGTCGTGTGCAAGTAGACAAATCCGAAAGTAGCCAAAACCTATATGATTAAATGATTAAAACTTTGATTAATCCACGACTTATAATTTACAGTTAGGTAGATAGGTACTAATGTATTCTTAAATTTATTTAAAACAAGATAAAAGTTAGAAGTATAGCCTAAATAAAAACGAGGGAACCTCAAGTACAACTTAAAGACATTTTATTACTACGACATTATATACGTAGTTTACTGCGCACATAATATGCACTAGATATATGCCACACATCATGCCGATTACATAAAGACCTATCTGTGTATTTTATTTTAATCAATATAGCGTTAATATAATAGCTAAAGCCTATTATAGTTACAGCTGATATTTTTATATTTTGGATTAATTCTCCTATTTCTAGAGAGACGTGCCCTAGTTCTCGCAATTCAAATAAAAAAAATCTTATGGCAATCGCCAGTAAACTTTGAATGACAATTTCTACTTCTTACTATCTATATATCCAGTGATGTAAACACCGATAACAAACTAAATCAGTCTAGAAGACAGCGGCTAGTCACTTTGGTTTCAAATATACGTCCTAAGTAAATGAGCACATGTCAAATGTTGTATAAATATGACGTCAACAGTTGACAACGTCTCTGACTATCCTGTCTCGGATAACTATCATCAAGATATCTTAATACACTTTTTTTTCTATTCTTTTGGCTCTGGCGGTTTGTGTTGCCATTAGCCATTAATACACTTTTATTCCTTGTGTCAATGATACCCATCTATTCTAAAACATTCCGATAGATTTTCAAATTTAGAACACGACAAAAAGTTGTTTTTAATTCATCGTCGAGTCACTCGAACCCATCAGTTGTTGATGACTAACTGCGTTCTAAATTTAAATTAGCATCATCAATTTTAAAACTGCCTAATAGTATCTTTTTATCCACCTACGTGATCGATTCAAGATAAAAGTTCATAATGCGTAGAACTAATATCCAAGTAATCGGGTATATATCTGTAAATATTTACTGCTAATCTCTGTACCCATACATTCCTATATCCATAACTAACACGTACCTAATTATCTCATTATAAAATTAATATTAAAATTGCATACAAACATTTTAGTCACACGGAATTGAGTGAGAGAGAGACAATGAGTGTACCTGACTATAATACATTACTAGTTAGAAGGTTATAAAGTAATATAATACCTACTTTAGAGTTAATCAGGTCTTAACACATTTTTTTTATAAATAAAGATATTTATCTCTCTCAACGTCTCGACTACGCAGCACTAGGTGACAGGACTGTTCTAGAGTTCAGTGATGCCAATAGAAACATCTTTATTTCATTAATATAGAAACCGCTACGCATTCGTTCTCATTGCAATCAGATAATATTGTCAGGACTATGAATTTTAAGTTTTTCTAGAAAAACATTAATCATTAACGATCTCTTCAATATTATAATATGTTTTTTTTAGAAAGGAAGTGTTTTATTGTATTTAGTGAATTTACCGATAGTGCCGTTTTTTCGTATTATCATCATTAAATTGTCCAACGAAATACCACGACACACAGCTCTTACGGTATCCATACACTTATTGACTAATACTACTGAACTTGTATAAAGTTGTAAACTTATTTATAATTGGCTTTCACGCAGATGATAACTTAAATAAAATATACATATATATATGCATCGTTAGTTTAGTTTTATCGTTAGTTTTATTTTTTAATGGATGATAATGGAATGGTGCAACCGCCTGCGTTAACGTATAGATACGCTTGCGGGGCATCACTGGAGGATGAAAAATGAGGTCTGGTCAGTTGGCCCATCGTGATAAAGTTACCAGAAATTTAACATGATGGTTTCCAGGGGGAAACGCGTGGAGGTCAACCTGACATAGTACATAGGTAACTAGTAAAAAGTTCAACAGACCACATAACAAAAAATACCTTTCCACCTAATTTAAAAAATGACTGAGAATTATCACTTGACACTACTATCAAAGAAGTAGATACTAGAGTATCCTAGTACTACTTCAGCAAAAGTCGTCGCTTGTAAATCGATATTGAATTCTAAATTCAAATTAGCCCCAAGCCATAATTACCGCGACGACAATGGCAGTGTAATGGCGCGTTCACACTGCCCGTGCCGTCCTGCGACATCTCCACTTAGCCGTCACTTCGCGCGATTACACGACACCCTCATTACTATAAGTAATGACGCTTAAAAGCACTATTGAAGCATTCAATCTAGTAATTACTAGTTGCGTTGTTCGCAGCACGTGCCGATTTGAATTACGCGCGGTTTTTATGACTGTCATTTTGTATTGAGAAATTGATGCGTCTTTTAATAAATCTTTTTATTTCTACAAAGAAATAGAGGCTATGATGTTTTCATTATTTTTAGTATCTATTAAAATATGGTTACCTATAGCCATTTATCATTGATTCCTCGTATCAACCATGGATTTTATTGATTGAATTAGTATTGCTTACATATTGTTTTATTGGTCGTGTAAGTTCAACATCATAGAATATCTATAGATACCTAATAAAAACTATCATAAATATTTCGTGATAACACTAGACTTTTTGATATTTTGTTTTCTTATTTATATTTTTTACTATTATTTTTACATTTTAGGTATACGGTTATTGGGACTGTTTCTAAATAGATTATTTTTAAATTATGAAGTAGGTATGTATGTTTCATAGACTCGAACATTATAAAATAAGTAGTTATTATCATTAACTTCCATTACTGAATGCATTACTTTCTTACATTACTATAGATAGTATTCACGACCAAATTCAAAATAGATTACACCAAATTCTAAGGATGTTCTAAATTGCACGCCCCGAAAATAACAATAGCGAAGTAACAGCACGCAAAAATACTGTTAACCGTCACTGGTCGTCCTTTCACGGCGTCTAATGACCGGCGACAATCTTCGTAATGGATCCATTGTGTAGACTTTATACGCGAATAGCGTGATACGATAACCGATTTAGTTGATTCCGGGCTCTACATTCATGGGTATGAACGTGCCTTAAACATTATTTATTAATATTCAAATGTTATTCTTTTATCTAACAATAAGTATACGTTAATATGGATATGTATTTGTAATAGGATCTTTTATTTTTCAATCAATAGATAAATTACCATTTCACAATAAAACAACTAATATTTTTATTACAATAATGCGTATAAAATATTTACACAACTAATATATCTATATATTTTTTATTAGCATTAAACTAATAGGTACATTGTAGGGCGTGAATCTATAAAGAACAGTCGTATCTTAAACACCAGTAGATAATGAAATCAGTGCATAAGATTTAAAAAAAATTAAATGTTTAATTAACTAAATACGGTTGAAATCAACTGTTGTAATCTTATATGGATAAACACTAACACAAACTACCACAAGTAGTAGCATTTTATTACGGCATATTTCTTAGGACATCAGCGGGCGTATTATGAACTCTTATTCCCAGGCAGTTTATGGGTTAAACTGAACTGCCTAGAAACTGACTGGATTTTAAAAAGTTCATAATACGCCCTCAGGACACTTTTGAATTATATCGTAACTATCTATCTATCTACATGTTTAACGATGACTATTTTTGTTTCAGATGACTACGACTCTCGTTCATCCAACACCGGTTCACCAATCCGACGCAATTCACCCAGTTCCGACATCGGCTACAAGCCTTTCAGTCTTCACTACGAACCTCGCAAATGCTCCACTCCACCACCTTCAACCGACTCAAGGATCTCAAACTCTCCAAACTTCACCATAAACGAGTACACACAAAATGGCGGACGAAAGAAACGATCAAGGGCTGCCTTCTCTCACGCTCAAGTATACGAATTAGAAAGAAGATTTAGCCAACAAAGGTACTTATCAGGTCCCGAACGGGCTGACCTAGCTGTAAGCTTGAAACTTACAGAAACACAGGTCAAGATTTGGTTTCAGAATCGCAGATACAAAACAAAGAGAAAGCAGCTGCAGATGCAAGAAAACGGAATGTTGGCGGCGGCAGCAGCGGCGGCAAACCATGCTAGGAAAGTGGCTGTAAAAGTACTAGTCAATAACAATGGCCAACCCGCTCTGCCAGATATGAAGTCTTACCAAACACCGATTTTAGGTAAAACGCTCAATCCGGCGCTATTTGCTCCACCTTTACTAGAAGGATCACCAATACTGAAACATTTTGCAGGCGTTTATGGTGTCGACTTTGCTAAAAATCCAGAATATAAGGCTTTGCTGCAAGAATCATATAATCAAGCCGTTCTTCAGTCTTTATATGGACCTCACCTCGGTGTTAATTATCCCAATTTACCACTATCATACATGTACTATCCCGGACATCCAACATTTGGCATGCCAATTCCATGTGATTTAGATAGAAGTCACGTATCTAAAACAGATAGTGGTAAAGAGGCGGGTGAACATTCAGAAAAAGAAAAGATTGTCGAGAAAATAAAAAACACAATCGATGTGAATGAGAACAGTAACGAAAGTATGGCCAGTAACATCGAAGTTGAAAACTAAAGATGGGAGTTAAAAAAATATTCTAAATTTAAAAATCTTGAAATTAAATATAAACAAGATTATGAAAAGTGTAGACTTAACAAAGTTAATAAGACATTGCAAAATACAAAAGCTTTTAAATTTCGAATTATATTTGAAATAAATATAGTATTAAATATGTACTTAAACGGCGATTTGAAATGTTATTGCATAATTTAATGCATATTGTTTTTAATTAATATTGCAATAAATAAACCAAAGAAATTAAGTTATAAAGCCAAAAATATAATTTAGTTACGTTTTAGCTAGTAGAATTGTTACTGTTAGGTTTTAATAAGTTGTAAATAATGTTTAAGAGGTTGAATAAATGTTTTATGTAAGTAGTTAATGCAACGTGCACATTTGTAAATAGTACAAAATTGAAAAATTCATTAAAGGTGCAATACAGTTATTTTTCTTTTTTTCTCCCAATAAACACTTTCTTGGTTACTTGTAAGATGTAAATTCATATGCTTCCTACATAATTTACACACTTTAGGCGTAAATAAATACAGAATCGAATGGAATGGACAAACTGGGTAGCAAATAAAATTTCAGATGTGTAGCTATTAAATAACTTCTGTTCTGTTAAGTAATCAATTCATGTAGTATATTCACTTCAATTAAACTAAATAATTAGGTATACCTAATATGGAAGACATGTGTATAGAAACCACATAAATTTGGATTATTACTAAAAGTCCACTAATAATTAGTTTCGTTTCAAATTACGTCTAAATGTCAAACACTAAATAAAAACAGTTTGATCGAACTGTTAAATAACAAATGAGAGATATTCATTACGCCGTAACCCCTACCAATATTTAAATTTAAGCTGGCGATACTGAAATTATATAATAGATACTTTAATTCAACATTTTCATATTAAATAAAGCAATAATGCTCAATGCCGGAAACTTATTTAGTTCTTGACTTAATTATACCTAGTCATGAGTTTGCCTTACCTCTTACCATTAGGTAGACCTTACCTTTGACTTGATTAACTATCCAAAATCAACTAACCATATACCTACTACACTTATTCAGCTTTGCCTATCGTGACGTAGGTACAGTCAAAGACAATAAAAAAGAGGCCTCTACGTTAGCTCATTCGACAACATAATCGTAACTAGGACATTTTGAAAAAGTCTTTTACACAATACTGTTTAGAATTATATCACAGCATTCTGTTTGTGATGTTTTGTAAAGTCCGTCTCTAAAGTCCACATCTTTACATAGTATAAAACGAAGTCGCCACTGCTGTTTGTTCGCTTACATCTCTTAAATTACGCAACTTATTGCAGTTTTCAGTAATAGATACAATGATTCAAGAGTAAGGTTTATGTGTAACACATACGTGTGATGCATCCGTGCGAAGCCCGGGCAGGTCGCTAGTTTACAGTATAAGTTATATATCACACTTTGTGATATCGAACAAATCGCTTTTAGTCGCATTTTGTCGCTTATACAGGTTATAATTAATATTTTTTCCATACAGTTCATGTACAGTTCATGGCATGATAATTATTTTATATATACCTATAATAATGTTTATATAATTACAAATCAATTACAATATATTTTCCAATAACAATACGTATTGTTAAATATAAAAACATAAATATAGGTTGGTACTAATCATTAATTTATTCAAAATTCAAGAGTTACTACAATAAACATATATTTATTCCTTAATCTCTACTTTTATGTTTTATAAGTTTAGTGATTCCAGCCCTCGATCTCGTTAAGAACCGCCAAGTCTCGTTGAAGTGAGTTGAAGACGCTGCTCAAGTGCGCCGCCAATTGAAGAATGCCCGCGAAATTACCGCTTTCAAATGCATAGGGTTGTACCCAAATGTGGAAAGAGATTCTTTTAGAATTAAATTTTTTTGTTCAATAATCTACTATTAGAATAAATTATACGCATTTTCTATACGTATTTTACACAAATTTTTCAATTTATATCTTTAGAAGTGTTTAAAAAAGTTAGAAATAGGTATACGTAATGAGAAAATAAAGTAATTATCGGAAAACAAACTGTTCTGAGATCAGTTTTTTTTTAATATAGGTAGTAAGATATTCATACCTATATCTGTGACGTCAGTTGCCTAGGTAGGCTAGGTAGGTCTAGGCACTACTATGCTGTTACCGTCTAATAAGTACCACAAAATCTAGTTGCATGAACATATGTAATACAGTAGGTTCATATGCTATGAGAAATATATACATATATTCCATTTATGACTTAGGTACTATGGTAGCGTAACACCATATTATTTAAAAAAATATACATTGATTTTGAACCAATACTTAATAACTACGTATGAAAGAACATAAACGTTACCTATATTCTTTCGACTTCATGTAGAAGTTTTCTTCAGGAGTAGTAATCGTTACAGCATCTTGCTTCATATTTTAACCATATTTTTCCTGCTCTGTTTGTTAGAAATTAAAAAGGCCAAATTGTATGTATGTAGTTGTGTTTATGTATTGATAAATAATAAGGACATTATTAGGTCCCGCTGGACATCATCGTGGTTAATTTCTGCTATTGACCTAATTGCATCCTTATCCTATATGTATTTCGCAATTTTCCGTCGAAATAACTAATGAAAAAATCACGTGATAATCGTATAAAAAATTTGACATATCTTACGACTAGAAAACATGTAGCATTGAAATATTCGGTACCTACATTTGTCTAGTCATCTCATCAAAAAATAAGATGGTCCACTCCATACTTGTGCAACTTCTTCAATGAAATAAAATTATCATATGAATACAGTGGCGGGGTAAGAAGTACGGGGGAGGGGAGATGGGAGGCAACATTATGAAAATACCAAGTTACGACTTCCGGACCAAGAATTTTCTAAGACTCGTCGGCTGCCAGTACCGCCTCGCACTAGTACTTACCAGAGCTCGTGTGAATGCTGCTTTAGAATTAATGCCACTTTATATAAGGTTACTAACAATTTATCATCATTCATTTAATATTAAAAATTTAATTTTTTTATATTCAAATTAAAATGTGTTGCACAATATTTAAGTATTTTACGATCTCTAGATGGGTGCGCTTAGTCCAAAATATTATGACTTTTTAAACGATGTTTGTGTAAAAAAGTCTACCCCGTATCCTGGAAGTACCTTTACCCTTTATAAGCCCTCTACGATAATAAACAAATTTCATAAACAAAGAACATACCTGATGCATGCACATTGCGACAATATCAAAAGACTTTCTAAAGAGTTGTTTCATTATTATCATCTATTTGAAAAGCCAAACAGCTTGCTTTATAAACTGTGTTTCTATTGAGGAGTGAGCAAGTACAAGAGTACATAAATGTAAAATTATTAAGGTATGTTATGAGGCATAACTTCTTAGTCCTCTGCAAAAGCTATGCTTGGTCGTCACATGATAACGTGATGTACGTGATGCTGAGGTCTAGGTGATAACTACACCTTACCATTAAATAAGCTGCTACAGTAAGCTTGTTTGCCTTTCAAATGTTTTAATCTAACAATGAGAAAGAACAATAAAAATAACATCAGAATTTTGAAAATGTTTAAAGTAATATTATATGATTTACATTCAAAATTTAGTGATGGGTTGTTATTAAGTTATTGTCAAGGTAACGCACTAGATAAGTATGTATGTATTCACCGCATTACCGCCCTTCTTCTGTACGATAATTATAAGGAGGAGATATACATTTATCGATGTAACATAATTAAATTAAAATAATTAGGTAGATATTTAATTACAAATGCACTTACAAAGGAAGAAATATATTTCTAGAATAATTCATTTAAAATAAATAATATCAATTAAATCGAGTCTACCTATCTACTTGCCTTTTTAGTCGAAATCATAATGTAATTGATATTATTATTAAACCTACATATATATATTAAACCTAAACCTATAAATATTTTCAAGAAATATGTAAATAGGTTTACTAGTGTGTCTCATCACATGTATCTAATAGCGAGGACGTTCTCGTCCTCGCTATTATATAACCTATAACCTAAAAAAAGATAAGATAGATATACTAGAGATATTACCAAGGACAATTTAGATATTTTTAATTTGGATATTGCATATTTAAACTGACTGAAATGGTAATAAAAATTCAAAAGGCGTATGGCTTAAAATATACCCATCACAATGAGGGTTTGTGAAATATGCGTTAACCATGCCGTAGATAGTTGATATTGCATCCGACTTTCTCATCTACGATTACAGTCGTAAAAGTATTCTTCAGCTTTTTACTATAAAAGCTGAAGAATACTTCTCCTTCATAAGTTTTGTTTATTTTTGTAATGGAAGATTTCTATTCTTTTCATATTTATTATTCTATTAATCAGATATATACTGTAAAAATCATCTGCGTGAGTACCTCAGTTTCTGCGTGAGTACCTAAGAGTATGTCGGCTTCCAACCAACGTGCTTTGTAAGCAGTATTTCGATTGTAGGTAGGTTGTAGTTTAAGCAGTGAAATTGCAGCATAAAAGGCATACATCTTAATCCTCTAAAATGGTAACGCATGAGTGGTATCGTGTGACACGATAACTTGATGTGAGTGGTGTATTTTATTTAATTCAGGCTACTAATGGCCCATGTTATAAAGACCTTACAAACATTTCTTGATATTAAAATTAATAGAAAAATAAATATAAATTGTGTCTGTGTCAGTCATATCATGTCATAGGTCATGGTACCTACTGATGACGGCAATCTGCTACGGTAGCGCCTTCATAAAGGTGGTCAGCATATTAGTGGGAACTCGGGCCACAAACGCCTTGGAAACTCGCAACTTATGTGACGGTTAGCGCTTGCGATCAGGTGGGCCATATGTCATTATAATTATTATTAAAAAAAACTTTTTCTATCGATGTATATGTGGTAAGGCAGGACAGTTCAAACGCACTTCCATGCATTAGCAGTACTCGGTACGACTCATGTTACGTTATACAGTTCGCAC